CACTTACCCCTCTAGTTTTGCCGAATGACGCCACCGGCATAGCCGAGGAAGCGGAGGCGGACATATCAAGACAAGGCCACAAGCCCGTTGCGTTGGGAAGTTCCTTGCATAGTAGAACATGTAATCGCCGAGCGCACTCTGACACACAAATTGTCGGCGAATGCGCGGCGTACATGGCCAGACATTGCGCCGAATATGCCCGATCATCGGGCGGGTGGGGGCATGTCGGTGATCTCATTCGGAAGATGACGAGCGATGGGATCGCTCATGCCACGACTGCTCTTCCCGCACATGGCCCAACGATGTTTTCATCGGGAGAAATTGACGTCATTGGAATAATGGCTGATGACATTATGCCTCTTGACCAGACAAAGCTAATGGAGCACTGGCAATCTTTTCTGACACCTGACGCCTCACGCGACACAGTCGTTGGTGAGGGACATGGAAATAGAGTTGTTCCCATTGATCGAGTTGAACGGGCTCGCAGGCCCGTGCAAGTGTTCTTCCGTGCATGTCAAGGACGCTCTGGTTTTGCCCACAGCAAAGAAGGCATGTATGCGCCTTACGAATTTGGAACGGCGCAATGCCATGGGCACTGATTGTACGTTACGAGCTTGGAAGCCATCCAGGATTCCACGCTGGACTCAGGGATAATCAAATACCCAAACAAGCTCAGCGGATTGTGCAAAGCACTAGATTACGGACTTCTTAAACTAATACCTACGAGGCGCGAATTCCCTGCTGAATATGCCGCGCACATCCCTCACTGGAACAGCCAGCGGAAGGATGGCGACTCTTCCACTCGCAAAGGTCTATCAATCCGCCGGCATTGCCCCTGCCGGGAGCGGAACTCCGATCCAGGGAACCCGGCCTCGCGAAATTGCCCCATCTCTCTGGGGAACTCATGCGACGCATAATGTGGACTGGCAATATGGCGTTGCCTTTAACGGGCGCGTAGTGACCCGCCTACGATATCGCATCTGCCGCGACGGCACTTTTGTGACTACCGGACAAGCACGCTTTAATGACATCTCTCGCATTGTGCAATTGACGCTGATCGAACAGAATGCACGAAACACCCAGCAGATGGTCTGGAATATTATATTTGCCCCAGAACTGACTGCATCTGAGGTTGTCCGTTCGCAAGGCACAATTAGAACATTGGTATTTCCTGATGAAGAAGTAGCCGATGTTGAGCAGAGTGCACTGTCAGAAACAGAGAAGGCCCACAGCATGCGGAAAATGTGGACTGACGACGGGAGGTTTATTTGCCAGCAGCTCCACGCTGTAAGGGTTAGTTCCGGGTGTTGTTTGCAATGCCTCACCCCCGTTGGCCGTTAATCTAGGCGCCTGATTTGGACCAATCCGGTCATCCGTTAAGATGTTATGCCCTCGCTGTTTTCGATCGGAATCATGTTAGTGCTGAGCAAATTCGTCTTGAGACGGGCTGGGACCACTGGAAACGAGAAATGGCGGAAGGAGAAGTAACAATTCCATAGGTCCATGTGTTAACGGACAACTTGAACGAAGCCAACCGAGTTTCCGCATCGACCAAAGTTGCAGACATAGATTTCCGGGTACTTGCCGAATTCCATCATCGGCCCAGCCGTACTGATGAAGCGATAGTAGCCCGTGAAGGGAAAGTTGCGTTGTCGAATGGCGCACGCAATCAAAACACTGCCCAGCGACATCGGCTGATTATCCCGATGCGAACGCTGCCTTTTTGGCTTTATTTGATTTCTATGTCTGGCCGCATGTCCAGTGCAAAGTACAACGTTGAATCAGATGATCGGCCCGAAATTATCAAAGTTGCGACGCAGTTCATTCTTGATTATTTATCGACATCCCCGGCTTCGGCGCCATTGGGCACTGACGTCGTTCATGATGCGCCGCTTGAGTTGTCCGATCCCGCGAATAGAATATGGGCCCAACCATTTCACCGAATCCCCACTCGCGGGAGATGGGGACGGATATTGTTAGCTGTGCGAGAAGTAGTATTATTGTTCACGTCTGCGGGCATCGCCGTTGCATTTCCGGGGTACGAGGTGCAGCGCGACACAAACTGTGCGAATGAAGCTCTAGAAGCAACGCGCGATGCACATGTTTTGGATTGTCGAATTAGATCCGCCATTGAATCATTCGACCTACTTCACGCATGGACCAAAGGATTGGGAAATGAAGAATCAGAGACCGCCGGACAAAATTGCACAAGTATTCAAGATGCTGATGTTTCCATGGCTACGTCTACGGAACCTTAATTTACTGACAGGGTTTGTCTAGCCAACAGCCGCTTTTGATTCTTCCGCACAGAACGCCATTGGTCTCACCAACTGTCTTAAGAAGAAAAAGGAGGAGAGCGGCCCAGCCGACCCTCCCACAGACCCACAGAGGCCGCCCCAGCGGACTCTCCAGCAGATGCCGCAATCATGATAGCTGAAGAAAACGCCCCGGGCGGCACTGCCGCTTCGGGGCTGCGAGCCCAGCGACATTCTCGCCCAGAATCGAGACCGAGGTACCGGGAAGGGCGGCAATCCCATAGGACCGCCCCTTTATGCTCTCGCGCCCGCCGGCCCAGCCTTGTCGGGCACCAATACTGGCTGGGTTAACTATGGCAGGGTCTAGTCATGGGCAGATGAATCCATTGTAGAGCCGGGCGGCCGCGCGAGCGATGGCGGCGGCGCCTGGCCGGCCACGGATGGCGGCTATGACGCGACGCGCGACCTTTGCGGACATGGACGAGAATGGAGAAGTTCAAGGATACTGTGTACATGTATCCCGTTACCAAAATGCCACTGGTCATGCCAAAACCCGGCATTGGTTCAGTTTGAACGACTACAACGACAAATTCAAACGTGATTTTGGGACGCCACGCCGAAGGCGAGGCCGCCTGAGAAAGGCCAGGGCAAGATCAGCCAAACAGCTGGCGCTCGAGCAAAAGAGAAGATACATGTTATAATTATGCAAGAGATCAGCACCACTGGAACTGGTGCGACAGAGACACGTGGAATGATTCTCGATAATGGAGGAGTGATTGGCGGAGGTGATGCAGTACAAGAAGGACCGGTGCGACTTTGTCGGTGCCGGTCCACAGTTCATCGCGAAGCGGGTGCACCAGGTGTGCACGGGCATTGTGGCCAGAGTTGGGGAATATTAGCTCAGGCGGGGTACGTCGGGTTACTTCGGTCTTCCGCTCCCTAGCAACCACCGCTGAGCGGTAAAATGCTTTTGGGGTTCGCTCCGGTGGCTGTGCATATTTACAGGCCAGGTGGGTTGGGGGTCGGGGCGACTCTACGGACCCCGCCGGGGGGGAGTCAATGCACCCCTTCCGCACCACCATCATGTTGTCCATCCTGCTCTCTAGCCTTGCATGCACTGTCTGCTGCGCTGACTGCTTCTCTTCATGACTTGAGTGTTTACCTGCAGCTACATCCCTGGCTCTAGGGAAACGGAAAAAGGAGCGAGCTTGCGGCGCGCGCGTGCGTCGGCCAACGGGCCGGCTTCTTCCCTTCAGTGCTACCCGCTTGTATGCTTGACGGCATTATCCCTTCTTCCCCATGTCATCGGCGAAGCCAAGCCCACTGACCATAATATATCAACAGAACATGTTGCAGGGAATATGAATATCCAGGCAAAGGCCTCCAAGTGCTCGTCCACCAGCGAACGGCCCCCGACCTGGACCCCCTCTACGTTTTTTTGCGGATCCACTGCGTCGACGGCTCGGTGAGCCGACCCATGCCACCGTGGAACATCCACCGCGGCAGGTCTTCGAACCGCTGCCGCGCATCCTGACCCCTTGTAGCCCGCATGTGCCACAACCTGGCACTGCATTCGGCGGGGCCTCCCAGGCCGCGGGTCCGCCGCGGCTCCGGCTGCCTGCATCTTCTGATCGCCCCCTGGGGCCCGGGGCAACCTGTGGCCCACCTCCACTTCCATTTGTGTTCCGGGCGCAAGCGCTTCACGGCCGCCGCCCCCACGCCTGGATCCGTTCCAGAGAATTCCGGGATGAACGTTCTGAGCTCTGAGAACGCCTCGGCGCCCGATACATCCTCCAGAACCGCCATATCTTCACTCTTCCGCTGCCCCCGTGGCGACCCCGCAGCGGCAGTTTCGGGGGCGACGTCAGCGTCACGCCGCAGTACCGCCCATGGCCGCCGTGGCCGCAGCAGCCGCGGCGGCCGCGGCGGTCCGGCGGGGGGCACCAGCCTTCACTGCAGCGTGGGCGGTCGTTGCCACAGAGGACGTGGCCATCGCGGCGCCGCAAGCTCAGGGGCAACGATAGGGGAGGATAGGCAAAGAGGTGGATGCGTCGGCCCCCAATCGCCCACTGATCGCGGATAGGGGCCCGATGGCTTTACTTTGCCCAGGAACGAACGTGGGGAGTCGCTATCGGGGGGGCACCGTGCGCGATGACGATCAACAGTTGTCCGCGCGCCCCCAGGGGCCGAGAGCCGTTTCTCCTGCTCTTCTCCCTTCGCCTTTACTCGAACATGAAAGCCGCCAAAGGTGTCCAGAGGTCCGGAGGTTTCCCCGCAGGACCCTGGAGGCACGGAAAGACAGAAAAACGTCCCAAAGGTACAAATCTTCGATATTGATCGGGACTCCCACAATAGTGATGGTGCGGTGACCACACCGTCCAATCTTATGGTCAAACATTTCCGAAGTTTGCAGGCAGTTTTAGGACCCGTGCCATTCTCCGAGTTTCCCAAAAGTGCAGTCATTGACCGTGCGGTGAGGCCTGTGGGGATTTCGAGGCCAGCGCACGGTCTGTCGCCGTACCGCCTTGGGACCCTTAACCTATTGCATACAGTCAAGACGCTGTAAGAGGCACTACTTTGGGTTCGGGGCCTTCCCGTTCTCGGGCCGCTCTTGAGATCCGGGTCGTGGGACCTATTCGAGGCAGAGGCTCGCAGTAGCCGGCGAAGCCCTTACGCTCCGTAGGGTAGCATGACAGAAGTGTTTCTCGATCCCGGCCTGGACGCTGGCGGCCCGGCCACCCGGAGGCTGGAAGCCCCTCTTCTATTTCGTGCTCTGCATCTTCCTGGCCGGGGGCCTGCACCCCTGCGCCGGCCACTTCATCTCCGAGCACTACGTGTTCCCCCACTTGGCTGCCACGCAGGACGCCGCTTCTCGCAACGATCTTGTGGGCCTCGGGCCTTCCCCGAGGGATCCTAGTATCTCAGGAGGGTCCAGACTACCGCATGGACAGATCTCAGAGGATTCAGGGGTCTCCAAGATCCAGAGCCCTCTGGCCTGCCCCGAAGGATCTCTTCGGTCGTCCCTTCAGAGGGTCCTGGATTCCTCGGTCCATCCTATCGCCTGGATCCTCGTGTGCTCCCTGGCCTCCGCCTCCTCTATCTCTCTCTCTCTCTCTATATATATATATATTTCTCTCTCTCTCTCTCTCGGCATGTGGGTTCGCCGAACGCGGCCATCTCCTCATGCTTGCCCTTCCCTCGGGTACGGCCGGCCCCTTTTTGCTCCTTGGTCGCTGATCATCAGGCCGCTGCCTGACTCGGCCTGCTGCTCTCGCTCGGCCTCTGCTCCTATCTGCTGTTCCTTGGCAGCACCTGGCACAGACAGCCTCCAGACCCAGACGTCGGACGCATTGAAAATTCATCTGGGGGCCTTTGCCCGGCCCTGGGATTACCAACGAAACGACGCTGGGGAAAGATCGGGATTTCTGGGGATCCCGAAGTGGAACGGTCGAGGCATCGGAGTTGTGAGGAGTTAGCCCTGGTTATCCTCGGGCAGGCCCCCCCCCGGGTTCCCGTTCGGCACCAGCACTGTGCCATCGGATATGCATGGCGGCTTACAGCAGGCCTGCTTGCCGACCCCCCGCCTTCTTCGTCTTCGATCGTACCCCCTTGGGGGTACCTATACGACCGCCCTGCGGGCGATAAGGAGGTTGGGGCGGATTGAGATCAAATGCCCACCCTGACTGACCTCCAGCCTGTCACCTTGATCTCATCTCTCTCTTTCTCTGTCTTTTGACGCCCGGCTCACCCGGGACACCGCCCAGCCCAACTGGGACACTTCCCGGCCACCGGCGGACGGGAAACGGACTTTCGCTCCTACTGCCACCCGGGACACCCGGGACACCGCCCGGCCCAACTGGGACACTTCCCGGCCACCGGCGGACGGGAAACGGGCTTTCGCTGCTACTGCCAGCCGGGACACCCGGGACACCGCCCGGCCCAACTGGGACACCTCCCAGCCACTGGCGGACGGGAACGGACTTTCGCTCCTATATCGGCCTAGCTACAGGAGGATCACGCGCAGCTTCGCCTCACCCGCACGCACGACACGAACACGAAACCGAAACCGATTTCCCGGTGGGGGTTCTCCGTTTCACTGCGATCTCACCCCCCAACCTCCGATACCTATACGACCGCCCTGCGGGCGATAAGGAGCTTAGGGGGGGATTGAGATCAAATGTCCACCTTGACTGACCTCCAGCCTGTCACCTTGATCTCTGTCTCTCTGTCTCTCTCTTTCTCTCTCTCTCTCTCTCTCTCTCTCTCTCTCTCCGTCTCTCTCTCTCTCTCTCTCTCTTTCTCGCCTTCTCTCTCTCTTTCTCCTTCTCTATCAGAGTCTCCCCTCCACCATAAAAATAATCGCGATGACGATTAGATCCCACTATCTCCCTATCCGTCGACTGACCTATCGGGGAACCTCACTGTCGATCTCACTATCGACCTCAAAAGAAAAATGAAAAAGCCCGCCGCAGGCGCCGAAAAACGATTTGTTGTCGGACAACCACAGGACAACCATCGGCACAACCATCGGCACAGCCATTGGCACAACCACAGGATTGGATAAGATAAGATGGTCTGTATTGGAAGATATATATATATATATATATATACAAGTGGCACGTGTGTGCCCAAGCTCATACAACAAGCTGAAGGGGCGTTTGAAGCAGGAGTGACATGCAACAGCGAAGTCGCACTCGAGCGCAAGTGAGGTTGCCACACCTTGCGATGTGTGTACCAGGGCCCCCCAGGAAGCCTCAGGAGGCCCGACTTGGATACCAGAAGAGGCTCCAGGAGGCCCCAGGATTGTGAGTGTTGTGTGTGTGTGTGTGATGTGTGCTTTGTGTGGTGCGTGCTTTTTGTGTGTTGTCGGTGTTGCGTGTGTGTGTGTGTGTATGTTATGTTTGTCTAGCGTGTGATGTGTTGGGCGTGATTTGTGTCTCTGTGTGTGCATGTAGTTCTGAAGCCCCAGGAGGCCCCAGGCGGCCTCAGCAGGCCCAGGAGAACTCCAGGAGGCTCCGAGGCGGGGTCTGGGGTACCAGGAGGCCCCCAGGAGGCTCCGAGGAGGGGTCTGGGGCTCGATTTTGGGAGGATGTCTCAGGCGAAACCGCCATTCTCTGAGAATCGGGGTCACAATTATTGAAATTACCATGTGTTTTTGAAGGTTTTATGTTAAAATGTTGAAATTCCTATGTGTTTTTGGACCTCTCCTTCACGATCTGCGTGAGGGGTGCCACCGATTTTCAGAATTTCGAGGATGTCCCGAGCGAAACGGCCGGAAAAATCGAAGACGCACGCACGCACGGACGCACGGACGCATTAATCCCCTCTGAGCTCTACTCCCTCGGAGAGGTGCGTATGAGAATATATATATATATATATATATATATATATATATTGGAGAAGATGGGATGGATTGGATTGGCCCGCCGCAGGCGCAGAAACACATGAATTGATTGATTGGGTTGGATGGACTGGATTGGGTGGGATAAGGTAAGATGGGACAAGATCGGTTGGATAGGATAAGATGGATTATAGTGGACAAGATGGATTGGATCAGATAAGCTGGATTGGATAAGAAAGCCCGACGCAGGCGCTGACAAAAATGAATTGATTGATTGGGTTGGGTGCATTGGATTGGATGGGATAAGATGGGTCGGATAAGATAAGATGGGTTGGATTGGAAGAAATGGATTGGAGAAGATCAGGCGGATTGGATTGGCCCGCCGCAGGCACAGAAACAAATGAATTGATGGATTGGGTTGGGTGGATTGGATTGGGTGGGATAAGATAAGTTGGGACAAGATGTGTTGGATAAGCTACGATGGATTGGACAATCTGCATTTGATAAGATAAGCTGGATTGGATAAGAAAGCCCGCCGCATGCGCCGAGAAACATGAATTATGAAATGAACAACATGCGTTAGCGCCGCGACGCCCGGCACACCCGGGACACCCGGGACACCGCCCGGCCCAGCTGGGACACTTCCCCGCCACCGGCGGATGGGAAACGGACTTTCGCTCCTACTGCCACCCGGGACACCCGGGACACCGCCCGGCCCAACTGGGACACCTCCCAGCCACTGGCGGACGGGAACGGATTTTCGCTCCTACTTCGGCCTAGCTACAGGAGGATCACGCGCAGCTTCGCCTCGCCCGCACGCACGACACGAACACGAAACCGAAACCGATTTCCCGGTGGGGGGTCTCCGTTTCACTGCGATCTCACCCCCCAACCTCCGATCTTCTTTACTTGCCCCGCCCCGCGCATTGAGCGCAGCCCCTTCAAACAAGTGAAGCGAGGACGGATGGAAGGGGGAACAAAATGGACGGAGCACGAGATAAATTAGCAACGTGTACATGTATTACCTGCAACGTGTATGTCGTGCAGCCCTTAACGCAGGGGAAAAGACGACAGATCAAAGGAAGAGACAAGGGGGAGGGAGGAGGATGGAGCGCGAGAGAGAGTAGCAGGAGGGGAGCTAGGAGCAGAAAACACGTGGTAGAACCAGACGGGCAGAATTGGCGGGCAGACCCTAGCGGGCGAGTCGGGAAGGCGGGCCCAGGCGGCCAGGCCGAGCAGGCCGGTTTCTGAAGCGTGAGTCTTGCATCGCGAGGAGGTTTCGAGAGATGGCGCGATTCGTTTATAAATCATAAAAAGTCAAAGCGAGAGCGCGATTCCTGAGAGTCGAGGACGCAGCGTCTGAATGAATTGCTCGGAGATTCCACGCGAGAGCGCGATTCCTGCATCACTTGTCATGGAGTCCCGCGCGAAAGTGCAATTTCGGAGTAAATGGTTGGGGAGATTCAAACTGGAGCCGTTGTTATTGTAGTTGTGGGGCCAGGGGCCCACTTTGAGCACGAAGATTCCCCCTGGTAGAAAAACCAGGGTGCGAGCCCCGAGAGGGGACATTTCAATTGAAGAAACACAATGTGCACCGGTTGGGGGGATCCATAATAATAATTTTCTCCAACAGCAACAACAATCATTTGAGATTGTTCGCTCCTATCCGCTCGCGTGCCACTCAACATGTATATCCCAACCCTCGGTACCCGCCCTCTTCGTCTTCGATCGTACCCCCTTGGGGGTATCTCTTCCTTACCTTCACGCGCATCCAGCGCAGCCTTTCAAACAGGGGAAGACAGGACGGATGGAAGGATGAGGGAAGAGGATGGAGCCCGAGAGAGATCAGCAGGATGGGCGCTAGGAGCAGAACAAGCATGGCATAACCACGCAGGCAGATCGGGCGGGAAGGCCTCAGCGGGCGGGTCGGGAAGGAGGGCCCAGGCAGCGAGGTCGAGCAGGCAGGTTGCTGAGGCGTGAGTCCTACATGAGTCGAGAGGAAGTCTCGAGGGAAAGCGCGATTCCCAAATAGGTCCCGCGCGAGAGCGCGATTTGGACATAAGGCGGGAGCGGCTGTTGATGTAAACCGGAGGCCAGGGAAACAGTTTGGTGAAACAGGATGGGAGCGTCAGAGGAGGCAATTTAATCGGATAATTGGAATGGTTACCAGAGGGAGGATCAACAATATTTACTCTTCATCAGCGAGAATTCAACAGTGTGGGCCGCGGCAGGCGCGCTCGCACCACATCAATTTCCTTCCCGTGGTGGCTTTCCTTTGTGTCCGGGTGCCCGCGGCAGGGCCCAGCACCACCGTGCCAGCGTGGCATTTTGCGTGGCGACCTCTTCCGGGAGCCGCCCAGGAGGCGGCCAAATTCGGGGGCGTCTGGGACTTCGCAGGCGAAGAACGGCATACTAGGAATGTGTCTGCGACCGGGGGCGCTTGTTCAAGGATGGCTGGAAGGCTTACACCCTCACCTGCGACCATCGGGGTAACATTTTTTACAGCCGCCTTGACAGGCGCACCCGATGACGGAACAGTGTATGTTGCACCGTTCTTCGCCCGCCACAAGAGGCGGGGTAGGGGCTGTGGGTGGTGGAGAACATGGCCATTGCCATGTAATATCTTCGATGTAATGGCCTCCCTCTTCTTTCAAAACGTGCTCCGACCCCCCACCCTCTTCCGCACACATGCTTCGGGTCATGCTGTGCACCCTCCCCTCTGGCTCGGCGTACCCGAAATGTGAGGCAGCTTTCTCCCCCAGGGCCCAGAGCCGCAGCATGCCAGAAAAGCTGCGACGTACGATGGTCGTCCCCTTGCAGGATTCACATGCCCGCTGCGCGTGATGTGCCCTCTCCCCGAGGCCTCGAGGGGGCCGTGACGTGTGACAGCTCGGTGTCCCAGGTCAGAGAAGGGTCAGAGCATCTGGCAGTTGTCTCCTCTGCTACGAGCCCTAGCACGTGACATAGTGCTTCTTTGGGTGCAGACATCTCGCTGGAGTAAGGTCCATTCGGAGCTCATGAAGGGATGTGGTTTTCGGGCCGTCCCTGATCTAGCTCGAAGAACCTATTCGCGGCCAAGGGCGCTGTGACCAGAAAAGCCCGATCGTTCCTCACCCAGCGTCCCGCATGGTAGAACTATGACTATAGGGACGGGCATGACTTGTAGAAGTAGAGGATGTGGGGAGCAGGAGGTGGACGAGAACGAGAGCGATGAAGGCGAGGACGAGCTCGAGAAAGAGGGGGAGATCGATGGCGAGGATCAGCACGGGGAGCAGTGGCAGGACGGGGAGGAGCAGAGGGAAGGAGAGGCCTCGAGAGGAGGGGGAGAACGGATGATCGGGGAGGAGAGGTAAACATGCGGGGGAAGGAGGGGGAGGATGAAGAAGAGCAAGGAGAGGGAGGAGGGGAAGGCGGAGGAGGCAAAGAAGGAGCAGGGATAGGAGGAGGAGGAGGAGGAGGAGGAGGAGGAGTGGAAGCTTTCTGGACAGGGGAGAGGGGACCTCACGGGCGAGGGGTTCGGGGTGGGAGAGAAAGGGCCAAACAGGCACAGAAGGGGCAAGGGGCGGCGCTGAATGGTAGCAGAGTTTTCCCTACATTCGATGCCGTAAGCCTGTTCGGCGAGATCGGCGAGCAGAAGCCTTGAAGGACGCCAGCGCACGGCAGGTCCGCCCGGCAGGGCACGTGTCCGGTCCGCGGCCCCTCGAGCTGGCACAGCCGCACGGTCGCGAAAGCAGCCGAGCTTCGCGCGTCGCCGCCCGGGCCGGAGAGCTGCCCTGCCAGTTCCAGTATCGGTACCTTCGGCACGCCTGAGGGGCGATGGCGAATTGAAGGGCTTCGCGGTTGTGCATGCGTCAATTTGTGGAGTCCAGTGCCCTGGCGCGAACGGTCGAACGACCCGCCTTCAAGACGCTGTGTTGACAAGGCTAGCGGTTTTGAAAGTGCAATGTTGTATGCAGGTTGCTCAAGAACATTAGATTAGAAAGCAAATCCCGGGTGCCAATCTGGAGAGCGCTGAAGGTACGATCGAAATGGGTACGGAAAGAGTGGGGAATAAGATTGGCAGCAGATCTTGTCCATGTTGAGCACGACTCGCCGTCGGTGTCGCCGCGGGCGTTGTCCCTTCGAGACAGGAACTATTCTGCCCATCGGCGGCGGCTGTTGGTTCTGGACAACATGCGTCCAAGAGGCTTACGACATTCCGCAGACCCCCACAAGGAGGGAGGATCCTAGGAAGTTTCTACCCGCACGTGCGGATTCCGCGGTGCGCTACTGGTTTCTCACACGGCCTCGTAAGATCATGTTCAAGCGTTCCCGAGCATGACGCGCGCGCACCGGCTTCGGGACGGAGGACGGCAGGAGGGGCGCAGGGTGCCGAAGTCGACGGTTTGGGGGCCTGCCGGACAGTGTCCGAGAGTAGGAGGAACGCGTGGAGGTGCGCGGCAAAAACGGAGAAAGAGGAGGAGGAGGAGGAGAAGGCAACGAAGCAGGAAGAGGGGCGGACGATAAGGAGGAAGACGCGCAGTGTGAACACGAGGAGGGAGATGACACGGCGCGTCGGGCACGTGGGCTCTTGTCAGGGGGGAGGATTCCACGTCAGTTCGCGTTTCCCGTCTTGGGCTTCTCTCGGGGTTCTCTTGGCCCATCTTGGGAGCCCCGCCTGGCCGTCGTGGGCGTCCGTTGGAGCCGTCTTGGGCCATCTGGGGGCCCGTGGGGCCGTCTTGGAGCTCTCGTGGGCGCGTTCGTGCGAAGTTGGGATAATCTGGGGAGCCCTTGCGCCGTTTTGGACGCTTTGAAGTCGCAATTGGCGAGCATGCTGAAAACGCGCGTTTCCCGAAGGGAATGCGACGATGTTTGCTTCTTGGGGCCGTCTCAGTGGTCCTGTGGGAGCAGTCTTGGGCTGTTTTGGGTACGTCGTGGGCCGTCTCGAGCCCAGTTTGGATCGCCACGGGGCTGCAGTGGGCCAGATCGACGTTTCCTTGGACAGTCTTGGCGCTTCGTTTGGGACGTCTTGGACCGCCTTGACGCGTTCCAGGGTTCGGGGAGACTCCGGGCCCCCTTGGGATGCGTTTGCGAGTTCGTGCACCCACGCCCCCGCCCCACCACCCCATATAGCAGTTTGGACCCCATGGGGGGGAAAGGGGAAGGGGGACAGCCAGTCATCTCACACGCTCGCCTGCCCATCAGCGGTTGCTACTAGTTTTGGACAGCATTCATTGCTGGACAGTGTGCCAATTCTTTCCGTACCAATTTCGGGCGTGGCTAGGTGTTGTTAGAGGTGGCCTTGGCCCAAGGTGGCTCCAGTTTGTGCAGGGAGGCCAGGATGGCGTCGAGAGCACCCCTCTCGCGAGGACTGGAGGGACCCAGGGGCCAACGGCGACAACAGTCGGGGGACCTTGGGCCTGGACCACCTCTGGCAACATCGAATGGGGGTTGAGAAACACGCGAGGGAGGGTGGATCACTGTACCCGATTGCATGAACATACGTTGTCGGTTGTCCGCGCGGACCTCCGAAAGTTTATGATTGCGCGCGTCTGCGCTCGCAAACGATGCCTTTTGCAGGAGACCTACTCTTACTACGGCCCGCTGAATTATCTGACCTGGAACGTTGGCTATCACAACGAGCACCACGATTTCTGCTACGTGCCTTGGTCCAGGCCATCCGGAGACGCAGCAAAGCGGGAATAAGAAGGAGGAGGAGGAGGTGGAGGAGGAGGAGGGAGAGGACGAGAAAGGCGGAGGAGGCGGAGGGGCTTGGAGAGGACGGAGAGACAGTAGGAGGAGGACAAGGAGAGGTGCAACGAGGAGACGAAAGGGGGGGGGAGGGGCAATATTGGCAGCATCGTGTTTGCCAGTCTGTTCACAGTGCGTCGTCGCCATCTGCATGTTGGTAGGAGTTTCGTGTGAGAGCCTACATCGGAGCCTGTTCAACATATAAAACGTTCAATCTGCGAAACACGACTCATGTGGCATCCCGGAGGCGTTCCCTTTTCATGGGAGTCCGCGTAGGGGTGCGTGCGGTAGCACCGACCAGCGCGTACTAGCACGCGCTAGCCCCAACAAGAGCAAGCTAGCGCATACAGGCCTCAACACCTACAATGTGTATTAGGATTCTTTGCATTTTCATACAACTCCCATTGTATTATAGTTTTCTCTGCATCTCCCTGTATTATCAAAAGGGCCGCCGCACCAGTAGGACGAGTGTCTCCACGCTCTGTCGCGGGAGCGATCTGTGCTGCCTCTACCCTAGCTGGGCCAGTCAGCAGCCTGATAGTGAACCGAGCGCCTGATAGCCTGGTAGAGGTGTCGGGGGCGCCTGGCCAGTGTCGTTTCCACGCACTGTCTGGCCTGCCTGGACGACGCCCGCCCTCGGAGCGCTGCCATCGCCACCATTGCTGGCAGGGCGGCCGTCGTGAGTAATCCAAGCGGGATTGGCAATTGCGCCCCGTGTCGGTGCGGGGTCGTGGTCGCGAGTAGCGTCAGGTGGTCGCTGGTCCTGGAGGCTCGTCAGCGGCCGTCGCCCTGGAAGCGTCTACCGCTTGCCCGAATGGGGTCGGGCGGCGGTAGTAGGCGAGCAGAGGGGAGTTCAGACTCCTGATGCCATGGCTGGCCAGGAAGGCTGGTAGGTCCAACTTCGTACCTGAACGGGCCAGTCCCGCATAGGGCTGCACGGGACCCCAGGAAGGTCTCCCACGCCGCCCACACGGGGTCCGATTTTTTCCGCCTGACGATTATTGAATCGCTTCGCTCATTCCGCCGGCCCGTGATATGGCATCGCTGGTTTTTGTCTGTGTGTTCGTTGCCCATGTTGCGCTCTTGGGGGCGGGTGTCGTTCGGACGCGTTGCGTGGGGAGTTTTGATGGTGAAGCAGTTCCCTGGGGGTCGTCTCTCGATGGGGCGAAATAGAGTCGTCGTCAAGATGCTTCTTTGGGGGGCCTCTTGGGGTCTGTTGAGAGGCCGTTCGGGGGCGCCTGGGAGACATGTTTGAAGCCTTCTGGGGCTTCTTTTGGGCCTCCTGGGAGTCTCCTGGGGCCTCTTGGCGACATCTTGGGGCCTCTTGGAGGCCTCTTGGGGCCTCTTTGGGACCTCCTGGGCGCCTTCTGGGACGGAGGGCTCCATTTTTGAGTTCTCGGTATCCCTCCTGAGTCCCTCTTGGGCCCGTCTTGGGGCCTCTTGGTCCGTCTTGGGCGGCACTTGGGCCGTCTTGAGGGCTCTCTTGGGTCGTTTCGGCGCCGTCTTGGGAGCTTCGTGGGCCGTCTTGGAGCGGTCTTGGGGGCCTCTTGGGCCGTCTTGGAGCGTCCGGAAGCCGAAAAAGCCAGAACACAAAAAACATCGAAAAAACCAATGAAAATCAACGATTTTGGCCTCTTGGGGCTCTCTTCGGAGGCCTCTTGGAAGGCTCTTGGGGCGTCTTGGAGGCCTCTTGGGCTGTCTTGGGGGCCTTTTGGGCCGTCTTGGGGTCATCTTCGGCGTCTTCGAGCGCTCTTTGGGCGTCTCGGGGGCCTCTTGGGCAGTCTTGGGGGCCTCTTGGGGCACTCTGAGCGCGCTCTGGGGAGCCTGAGAGGCCGCACCCAGAAGGAAAACCATCTCTGAGTAGACTTGGTCGGGCGGCGGTCGGGCGGCGACCGGGCGTTGGTCGGGGTACTTTTCGCCGGGGGACCCCCAGGGGCCGCCCCGCGCGCGCGAACTAGAAATACTGTTAATACTGTTAACCAGTTACCGGAGATCTTAGCACGCCCTGGCCCGTTGGGCCGGCGAATTATGGGGTTCTTCGGAGTTCGTCAGTTCGGTTTCCGAGTGGTTCCGAAGCCTTCTGGCGGGCCGCCTGGATCCTGCGTAGCCATGCGAGGGGCACAACACAATGATATCTATGATAGACCTCGCCCGCAGCGACCGACAGACTAGAAAGGGGGCCCCGGCTTGAAGCTACCCCCCTCCCCCTCCCTTGCTAAAGTGGGGGGCTGGGGGCTTCGAAAGCGCCCCCCCCCCTGCCCCCCTTTTCGCGGCTGGAAAGGAGGGGGCTCCGAAGCTGCCCGCCCCCAGCCCTCCTTTTTTTCGGAGCCGGAGGTCGGGCTTCTGTTTTCAAAGGGGGGGGGGCTTCGGAAGTTCCTTCCCCTCCCTTCTTTTTCGTGGCCGAAAAGGGGGGGGAGGGGGGGCCTTCGAAGCTACCCCCCCCCCTCCCTTTTTCGGAGCCGGAGGTCAGCCCGGGCTCCCCTTTCAAAGGTGGAGGGGGACTTCGGAAGCTAACCTCCCGATCCCCTCTTTGTTTCCAACGGGGGGGGGCTTGAAGCCCGCCCCCCTTGCCCCATTTGGGGGGGAAGGGGCGGAGGGGGGGGGTATGGGGATTACATTGCAATGTATTGCATTTGATTGGGTTTGAATCGTTTGGATTGAAGTCGAGTGGATTGCAATCGGTTGGATTGCAATCGGAATGCAGGGGAGGGACAGAACGGAGGGGAGGGATGAAGGGGAGGGAGGGGCTGAAAGGGAGGGAGGGGAGATAGAGGAGGAAGGAGAGGAGGGGGGGAGGGAGGTGGGGCCAGGGTGGGGGTCAGGGTTATGCTTTAGGGTGTACGCTTAGGGTGTGGGTCAGGGTTAGGCTTAGGGCAGGGTTAGGGTTAGGGTTAGGGTTTGAAGGTTTAGGGTTTAATGTTTAGGGTTAGGGCATTGGTTAGGGTCAAGGGATTCGGGTTAGGGTTTGGGTCTTGGTTGGGACAGGGCTAGGGTTAGGGTTAGGGTTTGGGGTTAGAATTTAGGGTCAGGGTATGGGGTTGAGGGTTGAGGTTTAGGGGTTAGGGCAAGGGTCAGGGTTAGGGGTTAGGGTTTGGGCTAGGGGTTAGGACTTAGGGTTAGAAGTTCGGATTCGGGTTTAACGTTAGGGGGTTAGGGCTAGGGTGTCAGAAAGAGCGCGTTCTGTGGTCGCTTGGAGGGGAGGGGTTGAAACCGGACCCCCCCGCCCCCCTCCTCTCCTCGGGCCGGTGCTTGCGTCGGCGGCGGCTGGCGGCGGCGGCGGGGACGACGATTTCCTTTTCTGGGCCGGCGCCGGCGCCTTCGGCGGCGGGCGGCGGCGGCGGGGAGCGTCGACGAGGACGACGATGGTGGTGGTGGTGGTGGTGGGCTGTGGTGGTGGTGGCGGTGGTGGTGGTTGTGGTGGTGGTGGTGGTGTGGTGGTTTGTTGTTGTGGTGGTGGTGGTTGTGGTGGTGGGTGGTTTGTGGTGGTTGTGGTGGTGGTGGTGGTTGTGGTGGTCGTGATGGTGGTGGTTTGGTGGTTGTGTGGTGGTGGTTTGTGGTGGTGGTGGTGGGTTGTGGTGATGGTGGTGGTTTGGTGGCGGTGTGGTGGTGGTGTTGGTGGTTTGTGGTGGTGGTGGTGTTGGTGGGTTATGGTGGTGGCGGTGGTTTGTGGAGGTGATGCTGGTGGTGATGAAGGTGGCGGTGGTGGTGGTGGTGGTTTGGTGGTTTGTGGTGCTGGCGGTGGGTTGTGCTGGTAGTAGTGGTGGTGGTTGTGGCGGTGGTGGTGGTGGTGTGGTAGATTGTGGTGGTGGTGGTAGTGGTGGTGGGTTTTCGTGGTGGTGATGGTGGTGATGGTGAGTTGTGGTGGTGATGGTTGTGGTGATGTGGTGGTGGTGGTGTGTTGGTGGTTTGTGGTGGTGGTGGTGTTGGAGGGCTGGGTTTGTGGACGTGGTGTTGGTGGTGGTGGTGGCGGTGTTGGTAATGGTGGTGGTGTGGAGGTTTGTGTTGGTGGCGGTGGGTTATGCTGCTACTAGTTATGGTGGTTGTGGCGGTGGTGGTGGTGGTGGTGTGGTAGATTCTTGTGGTGGTGGTGGTTGTGGTGGTGGGTTTTTGTGGTGGTGGTGGTGATGATGGTTAGTTGTGGTGGTGGTTGCGGTGGTGGTGGTGGTGGTGGCTGTGGTGGTGGTGGTGGCTGTGTGGTGGTTTGGTGGTGGTGGTGGTGGGTTGAGGCGGTGGTGGTGGTGGCAGTGGTGGCGGTGGTGGCAGTGGTGGTAGTCGTCGCTGCGTCTCCGCCGTCACCGGCGCCAGCGCCGGCGCTGCTGGCCGCCGCCGGCACCGGTGCCGGCGCCAGGGGAGGGGGGGTTTGAACCCCCCCCTTCGGCTGCCTCTGGCCATCGTCGCTGCGTCCCCGCCGTCGGCGCTGCTGGCGGCCGCCAGCGCCGGCACCGGCGCCGGGGGGGAGGCGGGGGTTCCCCCCCCCCCCTTTTGCTCCGAATTAAGTCCTGTTCCCCCCCCCCCCCGTGCGCTGAATTACGCCCCCCCCTCTCTGGCAGAGCGACCCCCCCTCCCGCACAGTAAATTACGTTCCCCCCTTGAGCGACCTTTCCCTCCGAGCACTCAATCACGCCCCCCCCCTCCCCCTTCCGTGCTCCGAATTAGGTTTCCCCCCCGCCACTAAATTACATCTCCTCCTCCCTGGCAGAACCACCCCTGAGCGACCGCCCCCCCCGTGCACTGAATTACGCCCCCCCCCTCTGGCAGAGCGAAGCTTGAGCGAGCTCAAGCCCACGCTCTCAGAACTCACACGCCATCTCGGCGTTTTTTTCTCTGCGGGGGGGCGTGGAGGTGGGGAAATAGGGAGGCGAGGGAGGGGAGGGGGTGGAGAGAGGGGAGGGACGGGAGGGAGTCGATTACAATTGATTGGATT